AAGTGTTACCTTGACAGCTTTCTGGGAATTAGGCAGTCCTTCTTCTATGTCTTCTAAAAGAATTCCTCCTAATCCTCGCTGGTCATGGTTATCTAAAAGCCTAAGTAGGGCCTTCTTATCTTTCAAGTTGTACTTGGGTTTGAAGGCATATTTCCCATCTACTACTTCAATTTTGGGGTTGTTGACTAAGGCCTGTAATAAGACACAATTTGAACATATTCTTAAAAGGAAACTTCACATGAATGTTCTTAAATTCTAATTACAGCATTACCCAATACAGTGGAGATCCCAGGCAACTGGCACAGATCAGCATAGTGATTTTCTTATTAAAAAACAAACCAGTACACTATTTACATACATTATTTAGAGAAAAACTCATTTTATCACAACTGCTGTGAAAGAGGTGAACCTTTATTCTTTTATACAACAAACTAAGCAAGAATCAATATAATACCTATTAAGAAACACAGTGAACTAGGTATTGGACACCCCTCCTCCAAAGTACAGTTTCTCATATATTGTCATTATAATGGGAGAGCATTACCAGACATGAATAATCAGCAGTCAAACTTCCTCTACTCATATCAAGCAGCATGAGCTACTGTAGACAAAACTGAAAAGAACCAGCCTAATGTCAAGCAGGAAAACTGACCAAGAATGTAGGATTACTTAGTTACATTCCTAGACAGTTTTGTTGCACAGCTAATAGCAGAAGGAAAACCCTTCAAGAATAGGGTAACCTAGCTAGATGTGGTGGTGCAGATCTGTAATCCAACTACCTGGTTTTTTTCTTTTTCTTTTTTTCTTTTTATTTTATGTGTATGAGTGTTTTGCCTCCACGTATAAAATGCACCCATGTTGTACATTGCCAACAGGGGCTAGAAGGAGTCAGATCCCCTGAAACTGGAGTTACAGACAGTTGTTGCCTACCATGTGGGTGCTGAGAACCAAACCCTGTCCTCTACAAGAGCAGCCAGTGCTCTTAACTGCTGAGCAGCTACCTCCAATAGTCCCACTGATTGTTGTGTGTTGTGCTGTGTTGGTTGTGTTGTGTTATTTTAAGACAACGTCTCACTATGTAGCCCTTAGATACTGGAACTTCCTATGTAGACCAGGCTGACCTCAAACTCAAAAGATCCACCTGCCTCTCCCTCCCCAGTGCTGGGATTAAAGGCACGTACCACCATACTGTACCTCACGACCAACTCCAGCTACTTGGGAGGCTGAGGCAGGAGGATCCCAAATTCAAGGCCAACCTGCACAATTTATTGAGAACTATCACAAAATGAAAAGTAAAAGAGGGCTGGGGATACAGTTCAGTGAGTGCTTGCCTACCATGTGTAAAGCCCTAGGTTCAATCCACAGTAATAATAATAATTATTATAATTATAATAATGACAATAATAACCCTATTAACTTCTTTCCTCATCGCCAACCAACCTAACCCTAGGACAGAAAAAAAAGAAAGGAAAAAGACTGGCAATGAATAAAAATAATCTTCTGGCTGGGACATAGCTCAGTTTGGTAAAAGCACTGGTCACAAAAGCCTGATAACCTCAGTTCCACACCCTGGAACCCATGGAAAGATGGGAGAGAAATAAACAATTCCACAAAGTAGTCTTCTTGGCCCCCACAAATACACCAGTGAGCACACACATATGAGCGCACATACACAAAATAATATTTTTAGACTTAAATGTTGCTAAGTCTACAAAATTCCAGTATTAGGTAAGTCAGCCTATTTAAATGTGGATTACATTATTTGTGTATTACTAATATATCTTACCATTATTTTCAACATCTATGTGGACTCAGTTTAAACACTTTACAATCAAAAATCTTAAGTGGAGCAGAGGCAAGAAGACTGGAGAGTTTGAAGCCAACCTGTACTACAGAATGAGATCCTATCTCAAAAAAACAACAAATCAAATAAATAAACAAAAATCTAAGAAAGAAAGAAAGAAAGAAAGAAAGAAAGAAAGAAAGAAAGAAAGAAAGAAAGAAAGAAAGAAAGAAAGAAAGAAAGAAAGAAAGAAAGAAAGAAAGAAAGAAAGAAAGAAAGAAAGAAAGAAAGAAAGAAAGAAAGAAAGAAAGAAAGAAAGAAAGAAAGAAAGAAAGAAAGAAAGAAAGAAAGAAAGAAAGAAAGAAAGAAAGAAAGAAAGAAAGAAAGAAAGAAAGAAAGAAAGAAAGAAAGAAAGAAAGAAAGAAAGAAAGAAAGAAAGAAAGAAAGAAAGAAAGAAAGAAAGAAAGAAAGAAAGAAAGAAAGAAAGAAAGAAAGAAAGAAAGAAAGAAAGAAAGAAAGAAAGAAAGAAAGAAAGAAAGAAAGAAAGAAAGAAAGAAAGAAAGAAAGAAAGAAAGAAAGAAAGAAAGAAAGAAAGAAA